TTTTATGAGCACACTGCCATCACAACAATACGAGAAGGGTTTGTTGTAATTTAATTGTCCAATTTGGGCAATGGTCCACATGTTCACCCACAACGCATCATGGCATTCGTTTTCTCCGATCCCGTTGTTGGAGAACTTAAATAAATTATAATTTTTCTCGTCAAGTAGGAAAATTCTATTGTCAATTCGTTATTAGATGTAAATCAACAAAATCACCTAGACTTTTTGAATTCTCTGAAACCAAAACAAGAGCTTGAAATGACCAGAGGTTTCAGGTAATTCTTTCGACCATCATTGTGTTTTCTTCCTCTATCGTCCTTAAGTTTTTTTTTGCGCCTGAATTCACATTTTTCAAATTCCCAACCTTCCGAGATTCCTGTACCCAATCATTCACATGTTCTGCTGCTGTTTTGGGCTGCATACTTGTTTCACTGTTATCTAGATTGCGTTTCCTTTAGTTGTTCTCTGTGTACAAGACAAGAGAGGCATTATAAACACAACTTTCATGTTTCAACTTTGAACTCAACATATAATGATTTTCTTCTTTCCTTACGGTATCTACATCTTCTGATTTTAATTATCGATTTAATTTAAAATACTCACTTTCTATAGGGCTTTTGGTCAATTTTGAATTACACTCAGAAATGCCTGCCCACTAATGTGTATTACTTATTCTACTTTCATGATTCAAGATGTACAACGAAAGCCTACGAAATTTTGTGTTACTTCAATTTCAACTTCAATGATTCAGAATATACCTTCAAACCTCATTTTATCAAGATCTAGGAGTTTCGTACTATATTTCTCTTCATGTAACAACTGACCTTTTGAACTTAACTAACCATACAAAACTCTTCACCTTCAGAGTACCCATATTTTCCTCTTGAATAAAAATAAAGTCGACAGCTAATTGAAACGCTCTAAGTAGCTGATCACATTTGACTCCAATTATCGTATCCTGAAGTATTTGTTATTCTACTAGGGTACGGTCAGGTCGTCGTCTTTTCTTATTCTGAAACGTATGTGAATAATACATGGTCCATCCTGTGTTGCCAGTTGCTGAACATGAAATTTCGCAAAAAAAGATGTGAAAAAACCGCCAGAAGTCGCTATAGCGAGCGAAGCGATACAAACGAACAGGCTGAATATGAATTCATATCCGTCGTCATTCATGTGTTTCAAATATCTCCATAAACTACTATAGGGTCAGGTCGTCGTCTTTTCTTATTCTGAAACGTATGTGAATAATACATGGTCCATCCTGTGTTGCCAGTTGCTGAACATGAAATTTCGCAAAAAAAGATGTGATAAAACCGCCAGAAGTCGCTATAGCGAGCGAAGCGATACAAACGAACAGGCTGAATATGAATTCATATCCGTCGCCATTCATGTGCTCCAAATATCTCCATATAAACCACTATGACTATGACGAAAACTAGAATTTCGATACGTCGCAAATCAATGCGAAATGTCACATTCACAATCTAGATTTTGCGACAAAACCGCTAAGATGGCAACCCTGAGTTCCATCGTTGTGTATTATTTAAACGCATTCTAGAATAAAATAAGACGACGTTAGCGTCCCCTAGATTGATAACAAAGTGGTGAAAATGATACCAACAAGCCTTACCTTTACCTACAATGAGTAATCATGAAGGATTTATTTGATTTGCCCAGTACTGATTGTTGCATTGAACGTGAATACACTTCGCCCAGGGGACGCGTATAATAGCCATGACGCGTTGTGGGAATAATTTTGGACCACTGTCGGTATTTGGCATTTCAGTATCAAGGTATCCAACTGTTTCTGTATAGGATGGATCAATCCGTTGAATTTATTATCATCTCTGTGACGTCAACGTGTGGGCTCTGGATTCGCCTCACAGATAACACATATCCTGTGTGTTTACGATAATAGTTTACCAAACAAGTGAGGAAAGTGACACTTTTCCGCACGTGTTAGGTACATTATTTTTTCTACTAGCGTGCGGAAAAAGCCCAAATTCCTCTTTCCCGCACTCATTCTAATGTAAGTTTTTTCCGCACTAGTGCGGGAAAGAGGACTTTTCCGCACGCTAGTAGAAAAAATGTTTATCACAGACCACTGATATGAGCTTCAATATACTCCGTCTTGAGAACTGGAAAGGACCCGACTATTTGGCGAAACATGTCAAATATGTCCTAATCTAGCAGTTCTGTAAATTCTTGTGTTCACTGACTTAAGTTGACGTCACCACGTTACCCTATGGGATAGTGAACACTGCTATATAGAGATTGTACCATCCTTACAGTGTTGAACACCCTTGTTTGAATACAACATCCAAACTAGAGTACCTTGATGATAAAGCATAGTTTTGGTCAGTGAACTCTATACTATCTGTAACTGGAAAGGCCCCACAGCTGCTAGTTGTGTAAGGGACAGAGAGGGGAGAGAGAGAGGGCACGATGTTGTGGTATATCTTTCTTTCTAATGGAGTTTGAATGATTACTTGTGCTTTAATTAGGATTATTTATTATTATATTATTTTGGTTGTTGAACTGGCCCAATTAGTTGAAATAATTTGTTCTCGACCAGATAGCTGAGAGTATTGCTTTCAAGCTGTGGTGAATTTCTTTGTTTCCGTGCTGTGTTTATTATTACCTGGATAATTCATATATCACCTACTTTAGTTTATTTCTCCTTTTGCCACAACTTATATATACCTAATTCATCACCAGATTCTTTTCAAAATAAAAGAATTGAGTTAACTTTTGAGATTAACTCAAATATGTTTTGAATGTTATTGATTTGCATGATGATGTAGTGAGTTGTTACTTGAATATCTTGTACGTAATGATTATTTATTAAGAATACTGGGATTATCAAAGGTCCTTCTAATATTATCGATCATTTTTCAAATTTTTTACGAAAACTTTTTCATTTGGCGATCATATGAAAACAGGAGTTCCTACCTGCTTTCTGCCAAAAGTATTTCCAAGTATGAATTTTTTTTATTATAGCAAACGAGGATGGCCCTTTGATTGATCTCATTTACCAATGCTAAATCTATTCTTCTTTGCTTTCATACACTGAATACACATGGGTAGTTTTTGTTAATTTTGCTACATAAAATACTAGTCGAGTTTAGTTCAAGTTGAAGTTTAGTTTTAATTGTGCTGCATAAATCCACCTTTTCAGAGTAAAATGACTATCTTACAGACGTGCGGGTTGCCTAATATCCATTTTCTCCCCCTTACATCGTTATGAGTACCTTCCAGATACATTCAGTATAGAGTACACTGGTTTGAATATGATAATCGGGTGACTCCAAACCGAACTACCCTTTCGCACATAGGTCACATGCACAAAATGTCAGATGACCGACCCTGGAAGTGAAACAATCTCGCTAACCTCACTTTTTCTATTTTGTTTACATAGGATTAAATAGTTTTTCACAATAATTTTAGCAGACGTATCGTGTTTCTTAGGCAATTTATTTATTCAAGCATGCCATCACATTGGTGCTGTTGTGACATGCACAAAAAATGCAGCGAGAGACGAAGAAATAAAGATTTTTCAGGCAAATTGTGATCTAGAAGTACTGTACCTAGTCACTTACTTTACGAATTCCTTCTGCAATAGGAGCTAATGAAACGGCTTGTAAAGTTTTCAAAAGTAGACAAAAAGCTTGGATTTGTGCAATCAAACGAGATGACTGGTCTGGATTACTATCGAAATTTGGTCGAGTGTGTTTTAGACATTTGAATAATTCTAAACTAATGGCAGAAATGACTGGTCGTGTGGCTTTTAGACATGTTTTCTCTATAAGCTCCTATTGCAGAAGGAAATTCTGAAGAGATGTGAAAACATTTTAAAATGGAAACTATGTGAGTGACTTCAGTGACTACAGTACTTACAGATCACAACTTACCTGAAAAATCTTCATTCCTTCTTCTCTCGTTGCGTTTTTGTACATCGTACATCACCAATGTGATGGCATGCCTTGAATAATTAAATATCCCAAGGAACACGATTCGTATGCCGAAATTATTGTGAAAAACTATTTGATTCCTATGCAAACAAATGAAAAAGGTGTTAATGAGATATTAGCTCCTGCAGAAGAAAATTGTAAAGAGATGTGATAAAATTTTAATATGAAAAGTGAGTGACTTCAGTGCCTACAGTACTTGAAGATCACAATTTACCTGACAAATCTTTATCCCTTCGTCTCTCGCTGCATTTTTTGTATTGTACATCACCAATGTGATGGCATGCTTTGAGTAAATAAATATCCCAAGAAACACGATTCTTGTGCCAAATTTATTATAAAAAACTATTTCAATCCTATGCAAACAAATAAAAAAGTGAGGTTATTGAGCTAGTAGCTCCTATTGACCTATCCAAGATGCTGTCAAACCATCTAAATCAATATGACCGACTGTTGGCACACATACTTTCGTGTCGCAATATCTTTGTTAGAGCGATCCAAGGATTATAAATATCCACTTTTATTCAAAACAGCCATTATCATTATTTGATATATCTACCCAAGATTATACCGCTGCTACGTAAATCGACAAAAAATATTTGTGTGCCTACAGGCGGCCATTAGAAATATGTCAAAAGTCACGTGTTCTGGAATGCCTAATTGCAGAATGAAAATTCTAAAGAGATGACAATATTTCAAAATACAAACTATGCGAGTTACTTCAGTGACTACAGTACTTATAGATCACAATTTACCTGAAAAATCTTTATTCCTTCTTCTTTCGTTGCATTTTTTGTACATTGTACATCACCAATGTGATGGCATGCTTTGAATAAATAAATATCCCAAGAAACACGATCCGTATGCCAAAATTATTATAAAACACTATTTCAATACGATGCAAACAAATGAAAAAAAGTGAGGTTAGTGAGATTGTTCTCCTGGCTCGGTCATCTGACATTCTGTACACGCGACCTGTTAGCTTAAGACTTTTCCTTTGCCCGCTCCTGATATCTCGGACGTTTTCGACAGGACTCGCAGCCGTTCGCGCAGCCGCTCGCGTGATCGCAGATCGCGCACCAAGAGCCGTTCGAGGTCGCGCAGCCGATCGAGGAACCGGTCGAGATCGCGCAGCCGCAGCAGGTCGCGCAGCCGCGACAAGCGATCGAAGTCGAGGTCGAGGTCTCGCAGCCGGTCCGCCGTCAAGGAGAACGGATCGGGCAGCAAGGACTAGGGGGGGGGGGAGTAGTGCATTTACGCTATGCAACAATGATTTTGTCGCACCCCAGAATGGTGCCCCTATAGAAATATGAATATCTGGTAAAATTTCATTTACCTTTCAATGGGTTTTTTGCGAAAAATTTTTTTTTGGTACTTACGTATTTGTGTCTGAAAAACACGAATCTGACAATGATAATGTGAACAAACCACTATTTATCGAGATATTTCAAAACAAAAGTTCGAAATTTCGACTTATTTCTCCCCTTGTGTTGGATGCATTTACAGGTACTTGCTTTTCTTATTTTGTCAATGGACACTTTATATACTCATGATGTACTTCAATGACACATTTTTATACAGAAAATTCAACAGGAAATATGATTTTTATGGCGTGTTTTTCATATTTAGTGAAGAAGCATACTAGATGACGGCCATTTAATTAATAGTAAATACAAATACGAGATGTCAAATGTCAACAGCTTGCTTTTGAATGACATTACACACGCCAATATTTTAAATGATATTCTTCCTTCTTTTCACTAAGTATGGATAGATCACAATTAAATCATATTTCTAGTTGGCTCAATAATATAAAAAAATGTGTCTTACATTGTGATATATATGAATTGTCCAATGATGAAAAAAGAAGGGCAAATTGTTTTGAATGAAATCCAGAAGACAGGCGGAAAAGAAGGTGAATTTTGTAACTTTATAGTGAAATATCTTGATAAATAATGGTTTGTGCACATTTTCATTATGAAATTCGTGTTTTTCAGACAAAAATACGTAGGTACCAAAGAAATTTTTCGAAAAAAAAAAACCCATCGCATGCTAAATGCAGTTTTACCAAATATCTTTTTTTGTGCTTTGAACAATTCGAATTCGGATCACACTGTTCGCTAGCCCAGTCCTTCAGCTTTAATCTCGTACTTCTTTAAACCATGAAGTTCTTCACATAAAATCGCTACAAGGTGTTACCTGAAACTGTGCAAGATTTCGGAATAATTTTCAAAAGGATCCCAAACGTTTTTTTAAACACAGCAGAGGTTTGAAGATGACCTCATTATCTTGATACATTCTTGGAATTGTCTTCTTTCCTCGTCAACCGATTTTTGGAATCTCAGGCCTTCACCATCTATCGACATTTAATTTGAACGAATACAGGGTGGTTAATGATTCAGAATTATTATGAACCACTCTGTATTCGTTGAAATTGAAAGTTGATAGTAAATCGAAAGTTGAAATAGGGACATGTGAGCCTTTTTGATCGATAATGAGACACAATAAATCCTGAACGTTGAAAAATCTCGATTTTTCACTCTATGTCTCTGTCATCACTCAGCGAGGCCATTATCTCACTTCTTCGCCCTAATGGGCCACCCTGTACGAGGCACATACCTTTTCATCTAAAGTTACAGCTTCAAAATGAGCCTGAGATTTGAGAACTCGGTTGACGAGGAAACAAGTTATGACTGCAAAACCGAAATGTCATTTTTTTGAGATCACTGTGAATAAAAAAAAGAAGATAATTCGAATAATGTCCCAAGATGAAGAAATCATTTTCATGCCGCTGCTGTCTAAGTGTCTTTATTTAGGATCCTTTCGAAAATTCCGAAATTTTACACAGATCAGGTAACACCTTGTAGCAATTTTATGTGAAGAAACATATGTTTTAAAAGAGCATGAAATTATAGCTGAAAGACAGGGGCTAAATTTTGTGGTGCGACGAAATTAGTGTTGCGTAGTTTATTTACGCCCGAGACCTGTGTGTAGGTTGCGTAGCTGTTACTGATAACCGTCGGGCTGTCTCAACAACACTCGGTTTCCAACGCGTCGGTTGTCAAGTCAGTCGGATTTTGGTATTTGAACACTTGTGGCTGTTCATTGGATATACGTATTTTTAGATAGCTACGCATGCGCAGTTTAATTTTCTTTCTGTTACGAATTTCGTTGAATAAAAATATAAGACTATTATAACACTATTATAACACACTGAAAACGAGCTGTCATTGCTTAGACATGCTCCGATACAATCCCACGACACCCGCTCAGACTCTAAAGTTTACAAAGCATTGCATACCTCATTCCGCTTTCGCATTCAGAAAAAAACATGCTTGGAAGTCTAAATCAGTACACCAATGATAACTGTGGTTGACTCCATGCTTTGAGCGGACCAACGAAGCCTCCACAATTTAATTGCTATTGCAAAAATGAATCATTAAAAAACACCCCAACAAATCACGTGATGGCAATCCTTCGAAAGATTTAGAGTCCTTTCATGCCTTAACTCCAACTTGATGTACTTGCAACGAAATTCGTGCCTGTATCGGGTTTACATCGCACCGAAACGTTGAGTGTTGCTTGAGTTCTTGAAATCGAATCTTGCTGAACGTGCTCATTTAATCTTTCTTGCCTTCCCATCTAGGCTTTCTTTGTTTTTTTCTGGCCTTAGGTTAGTGCATCATTTTTCAATGAGATTATTTCATGTTATTTCCTTCCTTCATATGTTATTAGTCTATATTGATTATTTTAATATGGACTGATAAGATGATAAAGGTAATCCTGAAATGCAGCTGTATGATAACCTACTAGTAGGAAATCGAATATGACGAATTGTATGTTATTCGCCATTAAGATATGCGGAAAGGACAGTTTGGCGGATTATTGGTAACATTTGCGCGGGTCTCTTATTGGTATATGAGCATAGGTTGAAAACACTTTAGATACAACGCTCATGTATCTGTTGGCAACGCTTCATTGTGTTTTAGTTTCCACAGGTTATCTGATCTGTGGTCACTATGTCCTATATATATATGAAGGTATAGTTGATATGAATTCTTGCTGCCAATGAATACATTGTGGTGTGTTTTTAATCTTTGATAAGATTATTTGTGCATGTCGCTTCGTTTTCTTTCATTCATTCTATAATATGTATTTTAATACTCGATTAGTTTGATGGTTTCGAGTGTTCATTGTATCAAGTAGGCAAATAAATTGACTTATTCATAACTGTTGTTTAATTTCATATGGTACATTACTGGAATGAAAACAAGAATTATTTATGAAATATGGTGTGATTCAGAATTGAAATATCTAGGTTTTTCTGGAATTTTGAGATAACACGGGCCTAAAAAGATATTAACATTGCATTTTTGGAGTATATTCATATTTTTTTTAAGTAGTGAGAGAAAAAATAAAAATTTACTTTCAGAGAAACTGAGGTGGAGTCTGAATAAACTATAATTAAGGTATAGAAATTTATATTTTTGCAATCCAAGTGCAACGACACTATTTAGGATTGATGATTTTGGAAGTACTTTCACCAATTTCAAAAATAAAGCATTAGAAGTAATTAATTGTATAATAATAAAATTCATCCACAAATAACAGGAAAAAAACATTCACAGATAAATCGACCAAATCAAGTGCTTTGCTGATTCAAAAAGCCTTTTTAGTAGAGTAAATAGACTGGCAAAAGGCTTCTAGAATAGATTTTCGTGGGCACTTTGTTGCTAAAATGTAAAACCCATTTTTTATCATTCCTAAGACCTTTGCAATGCAAAATCACTTGGTCGTCCAAAAATCGTAGTTGGAGGGGAGTGGGGGGAGCCTTTTTTTAAAAAAAAGCCAATTTTTTTTTTCATCGGTTTTCAGATCTAAGATGTGAGATAATTCATTCCTCGAATTTGCATACCCATCCGGATATCAGAAATATTTTTTTTTTATTTATAAAAATACGTCGCAGCATTGTTGTATATGGAGAGCCTTCACACAAAACCGCTTGCCCTGGACACCCATATTTTTAAAATCATTTAACTCGCTCTACCTCGAAAAGTATTGGGTCTAGCAAAAAAAGACTTTCTATAAACGTTATAGACCAAACATCAGAGAACATGTTGGTTTTTTTAGAATTTTGATTGGATAATTGGTTCACGAGGAAATTGAATAAATCGAACGGCATGTCGCGACGAACGGCGGCTAGCGCAGAGATACGGGGAAGGGCGAGATTGCTATGCCTGTGTCAACCGAAAATCCACTCTACTGAGGGCGATGTTGATACGGTCGATTTTACCGTGAATTCACTGTTTTGTTGTAAATTCGAATGCATTGTTCTGGTAGCGCTGATTCTACTGAGATTACTAGTGATGAGTGATAAAGTTCTTGTCTATAAATCATATTATTAAAAGCGAATAATAACTTATTGCTAAGTTAACAATATTTAGAACTTACTTAGTGAGTATTAGGTACAGTTAGTATTTTTTTTGTATCCTCTAGAAATGGATTTAACGATCAGCAGCAGCTCTGACAGTGAACTAGAGTCGAAAATCAAATTAAGACTTGCTTCTTTTCGTAAAACTGTCAATGGACAAGACGTTTTTATTCAAAATGTGTGTCTTATTTGTTTGGAAGGAGGAACGCTGGTTATCTCTCATGAAAAATCAAAAAAAAATTTCATTGAATTCACGAAAGAACGTATGACAAATTGTCATGATGACAAATATATGCGGCATATATTCTCAAAGTTTGATGAATTAGAAAATCAAAGTTTTTTAAAATGGCACAAAAGCCTTTATAAATCGTATACGAGCTCAAAGAACATTGCCTCGTACAAGTCAAAAAATAACAAACTGACAGCTGATTCTCCAGCAGATTTTTGTAGCAGATATTTTTCAAAAACGTCCCTTGCGGATACCTTTTGATTCACAAAACGGTTTGATTGCTACTAGAGCAGGGTTGGAATAAGTCATGACTTTTATGAAAAAGTCATCAAAGTCCGACTTTTTGAAATAAGTCAGACTTTTTTGAATTGATTGATTTGAAAAAAAACAAACAAATTTCATTTACCCAAAGCGAAATAGGAAAAAAGAAACAAAAAAGCTATGTTTTTATTCTCTTCAGAAATCTTGTAGAATAACATCATAATATAACATGTTATTTTTTCGAAACAAAATTAAAAGTGATGATAGAATACAAAATAATAGATACATATAGATCCAGTATCATCCATAAAGTTCGTAACACATAGAGAAAAAGTTTATTAGTAGAATATCGAAACATTTTTTCTTGGAGATCTATTATGCATGTCTGATGACTACTTAAAAGTCAATTTTGACATATGTCACTTGATCAGTGGTATGGCGGTAAATTCAAAAAATTACGATGGCAAAAAGTGGGGTTGGATGGGAA